ATTGGAAGAATTGCAAGAGATGGAGCTTGAGTATGTTATTATTATAATTGTGCGTCTTTCGACTTTTTTCCCTGAAGAACCAGTGATTTCTTAATTGATTTCAGGCAGATTTTTTTCTCTTAATGGCAGCTCAGTTTCTTACAGTACAGGAAAAAAAAGACAGGTTGTATAATTTTCTAGAGTATTCACTACCGTATTTATTTCTTCTTTGTTTGCTAAGAAGGGTGTTCTCATTAACTATTCAGCTCTTCCCAGCGACGGCTTGTGCATATTGCCTCAGTAAATCAGAAAGTATTTCATGATGTCGTATGTAAGTACAATTTTTTTTAAATGTTAGTAGCTTTTCTAACAACAAACACCCCCCCCCCCCCCCCCCCCCCCCACTGAAAGATAGACCCATCACCACTAGAATAAAATTGAAGTCAAGATATTTTAGTGCTTTAATATTTGAAATTGAAACTGGCACAGAGAAAGACAGCCTCACTCAAGTCTTGTCATTATTGAAGTGTGGTGTGTACCTTGATGAGGCATTTCCAGTCCTCTAGTTTTTTATAAGGCTTTTTCCTTATGCTGAAATAAAAAAGTAGGGAGGCCAAAAAGGTGTGATGTTGCTGTCTTGGGTGTTCAGGAGATATATGTAATATTGAGATTTGCAGAAGAGCATGGCAGCCCACTTGGTGTATACACAGTAATACAGATAGCTCGAATTCGGCGGGACCCGCCTCTGTAGTTCGAGGGATCTGTAGTTCGTTGGATATCTTACAAAGTTAAAAAAGAAGAAGGAAAAAAACAGGACCGCAGGCACAGTTCAACGGATGCCTTATTTCCAGTCTTCTGTGTTCGACCTGTCAGTGTTATAGTGTATCTAAAGTGTCCTGTGTTTTATTTAGTAGAAACAAAACAGGAAAGAATGAAGGTTGAAAATTAACTAATACTTAGTAATACTATTTATAGCGCTAATAATATTGAGTACAGTGGAATATGATTCATCTGTAATTATGTCAAAAAGCCAAATTAAAATAAAGCCCCCGGAAAACTTGGTGAAACCAAAGAAAATCTGGTGGTCCCGCAGTATTCCGTCTTACTGTCCCCGTCGTTTTACGCAAGAGAAGTTCTGAAATTATGCAAACTGAGCCCAAAAATGTGAATTATGTGATTCTGTTAATTTTAACAAAGAATGATAAAGGAAAATAATCAGAAAATTTTGCAAAAAATAATCAAATTTTGCTAAATTATGCGGGGTGCATAAAACCACGGGGACAGGAGACTCCACTGTATATTATGAAGTGAAGAAATGGCAAAAGAGTGGGTGGGAAACACGTTGTATTGGGTCACTGGACTCTCTACTCTCTCGGCCTTTGATTGCCTTCACCTTCACTTTCACCTATCCCATAGACTGGATGTCCATCAGGGCGTTTTTTGAAGATTTGGCCACCAGCTTCCTCGACTCCTTCTGGTCTTCAGCTTTCCTGAGCGTGTCTTTGAGTTCCAGGCAAATTTTGATTGCCATAATTGGGAATTTTGTGAGCACAAGCTTGTATACACTCCGGCTCATTACCACTGGTGCATTATATTAGTGCTGTCCTACGCCTTGATTGGTCGAAGTGTCCATGAAAATGGTTGTGAAGGAATTTTTAATTATTTTTTTTGTAATTTATGAGGGATGGCATTCTCAATCAGCTACGAAAACCTCGAATTATAAAGTTTGACCGATGCATGCTTAAATCTTCCTTTGAATGATAGGAAACGTTTGGTTGGCGTTGGTTTCCTGTTTATTGTGTACAAATTCAGCTGATGTGCTGTGTGCTGCAAACTGACATTTTACACTTCGTTTTAGTTTTCATTTATCGCTGTCAAATTTATGCAATTATGATAATGTGGCCAGTGAGTGGACAAATTTACATATTAGACACCCTTTTAGCTTGAGTGGTATCTACATATTATATTTGTAGTTTATGTATATTACATACATCACGTACAAGATGTTGGATCTTGAGTTTTATTTTATTATAATTTTTTTTTTTAAACAATTTTTTACTGAATGTCTGCCATGACAAACTGAGAAATAAATTAATGTATACACGAAACTGTGTGTCCTGGTGTCTTTGCTTCCTCGGGATCCATGCTGTTTTAGCTGAGGTAAAGTTGTGATTTCCCTGCTTAGACTTAGACACACATTTCGACATTTCAAAGTACAGTTCTTTGTCTTGATAGTTACAGCAGATCTGTGGGTGGTTGGCGGGTGCTCTGGTGTGGTTTGCTCCTTCTTTCCTATCAAACTACTACTATCATCTTTATTTCTCTTCCTTCTTTTTTATGTTTGTTACTTTCTTGTAACACCTCTGATCTTCGGCACTTATATGACCTTACTGTGTTGTAAGTGCTGTAAAACTCTTACTAAATCTAAAAACAGTTCATTGTCTTGTCGTTCGAGCAGATCTGAAGGTATAGGAAGACACACCTACCTCAAGTCCTCTGTTACAAAAAAACAAGACTGAAATGCCCTGGACAAATTGGTTCATTGTTTTGTGAAACCACAGGTAGTACATAACAAGATGGGCCACTCAGCCAAAAAAGTGTCGGCAGGAAGTCCGCTCTTTGCTTCAGATGGCGCTGCAGTCTGTTTTGAAGCTCTCTTTCGTTTTTCTAGAAGAAGAATAGGAATAGCACCTCCTTGCGTGCGCAGATCGACTGCTGTTCATCAGCAGTTCGGGTTCGTTCAGTGTGGAGTTTTAGTTTTTTTAAAATTTTAATGACCTCTCGCCTTTCATTCTAAAGTCAAATTAAACGAAGAAAACAATCACCCTTTCCTCCGGAAGAGGTTTTTTGTTAGCGTAACCATTTTAAAAAAGCGTTCTTCCGAAATGTATTCAAAAACTTGCTAGTTTCACTTTGATTTTTTAAACTCAAGTAGGATAACTCTGTTCGCAAAGGTGCGCTTTTGTGAAGAGGGCGCCACCGGATTTTGAGGACACTTTTTTAATTGGCTCAAAGAGAGAAGTGGCCCCTCTTGTTATGTAGACTCTTTGGTGAAACATAACACTTACTTCCCTTTACTTTACTTTGTCATCCTCTTGCCATTAAGCTTCATGGGGAGATGCTGCTTTCTGTGGAAGGCCAACTCTGCAGCTCTTGCAATCGGGATATAATAATTTCACAGGGTTTCCTTGACTCTTTCAATCCATCTTTTGCATGGTCAACCTCTTCCTTTTTATTTTAGCTGAGTACTTGGTGGAATTGGCTCTCAAGGCTGGCTGGCTAGGTGACATTTGTAACAGGTGGCTAATTATAATTTTTTTTTGTTTTTGTTTTTTAAAATGAAATGCCGGCAGGATTGGGTGCCTATTGTCGCTCTTCTTCATTTCTCTGTCTGTCTCTTCTTGTAATGTTGAGGGTTTTGCAGACATTTCATCTGGCATGCAGTTGATGCAGTGATTTTGTAATGGTTCTCAACCCTGCAAGTTTCGTGTGTTGTATATTCGCCGAACCCTTCGAATGGGGTGGGTGGAACGAATGCACACACACACATACACACGCACACACACACACAAATAAACAGTGCCCTCTGCCGAATCGCTGGGATAAACTCACTGAACTCCGTCCTAGGGTTCGATCAAACCCAGAGAATATCGATAAAATTTTTCAAACTTTTTTTTTGGCGAAAAAACATCATTTGTCATCTGTTCTATGGGGTTACAATGACGAAACTGTTGAAAAAACACCCTAAATGACCTCAAAGGACGTTTGAAAAAGGCAAATTGAACTAAAAATCCTTTTAAAAATTCGTTTTTTTCTGTTTTTCTCAAAATCTGCTTTTTGATATATGTGACCTCCTTGGTGCAAGGAGTTTTCAAAAACTACAGATGCTAGAAGCTTCAAATTTGACATACAGGTGCTTTAAGATCCATTCTGGGGATCTATGTGAGGGAATGGGGAAATATTGGTAAGTTGAGGAAATATTCCAATTTTTTGTAACATGTACCCCAAAGTTTCGTCAACTGACTCTCACGGGTCAATTGACTTTGGGCTCACTTTTTAATTTTTTAAGTTGGGTCAAAATCCTCACATAGATCCACAGTCCATATATAGGTTGTACTTGTGTGCCAAACTGAAGTTTCAATATTTTCTATGAAATTCTTCTGCACTAAGAAACTGGTTTAAAAATCCAAGATGGCTGCCACAGAGACCAATACTTCAGAGAAAATCAACAAAATCAACACCAGGAAACATCTCCCCCCTCTCCCCCCCCCCCCTCACTATGATCGAACTCGCATCCTTTGAGCGCAAGGAGAAGAGAGAAACTAGGGCGCAAAAGTCTGTAATTTAATTACAAAAGTGGGACGTCAGTAGCTTAGTGGTTCAACTCTCAGACTCGCAACCGTAAGGTCGTGGGTTCGAATCCCGTCAGGGGCCCGACGTGTCTTTGGGAAGGGCACTTTTCATGAACTTTCCCCACTTCACCCAGGTGGGAATGGGTACCCGGCTATAGACAGCGAAAGTTTGTTCGTGCTTGAGTGCTTAATCAGCTGCTTGCACTGTATATGCTTCCCAGGAAGCTGAGAATGTTTCTCAGAGATCTATGGTCTGCTGGGGTAATAATATAGTGTAAAGCGCATAGAGTTTGCTGTCGAGTGGGGACATGCGCTATACAAATGCTATTTATTATTGCTGCAATTTTGCTGCACATTAACATTGCCAGTATAACACAGGGATAGGGCGAACATAGAGGACTCGAAATGACGCATCCGCCGAACTGTGCCTGCAGTCTCCTTTTTTAACTTCTTCATCTCTGTAAAATATGCCTAGAACAACCGAGGTCGGTCCCAACGAATTCGGGCTATCCATGTCGTTATACTGTAGTACTGAGTAGATCAACACTCGTACAGTAAAACAACAAACAGATGGTGTTGTACAGTAAAACATAAAACAACAAACAGATGGTGTACAGTAAAACATAAAACAACAAACAGATGGTGTACAGTAAAACAATAAAAAGATGGTGTTTTTCATAAGACAAATCTGGATTTATTGCTTGTAACAACAGAGGACATGGGAACAATAACAAAACATAATAAAAGGTCAAAACTTGTGGAGTTCTTTTGTTTTTTGGGAGGCCAAAGGGGGGGGGGGGGGGGGGGGGGTGAGATTCAGTCTGACAGATCAAGCGAGTAAATGAAATTGTCATGAACTCTTCACTTCCAACAGACATAAAAATCACAATTCGTGTGGAGAATCTCATTCATTCAATGAACATTTTTGTGCTACTGTGTTCGATGACTGAACATTTTTTTAAAACATCACAACAGATGACCTGACTAGACACTGCAGATATTTTTTTCCATTTAACTGAGATATATTCTGGCTATATATGAAGGTTAGAGTGAAGCATCTAGAGAAAGAATGGAATTAGAAATAACATATAAGATTAGCATTTTATATTGCAATGGCACAACAGCGAATCGTGCCAATGATTGCACGGATGAACGAAAACAGACTGGGATTCGATAAACAAATCTCTCGCTAATATTGGCATAAAGAAAGTACATAGGGTGTCATAATGCTGGGGAAAAAATAGCTGCTCCAGGTGTTAACAAAACAAAAATCTCGTTGGCAAACCAAAGAAAAATCTCTGTATGGAGTAAATGCATTTGAAATTATCGTAACAAAACCACTACCGTGGAGATACACTACTTCTTGAACAAGCTAAAAAAATATATATATCAACACACATCCATTACATCAATGTCCAATCTAAACATATAACATCCGTTATAAGAGTATCCATATAACTTGATTGACAATTCTTTTGAGACAACTCGCTACCTATATTTAACATGGAACATCATTTAAATTATATATATATATATATATATGTCTAAAAGAAACATGGGCAAAAAATCGAACATGTCTTACTTCAAAGGAAGTGAGCATTGTATAAAAAACCAACCCTGTCAAGTCATTGAATTTAAAAAACCCAAAAAAACGAATTAAATCAAGATGTCTTAGCAAAGCTGTCAGCACCTTCAGCTTTTTCTAGTCGTTTCCAATAAAAGACTCGAGAAAATCTCCTCACACTGTCCTTTGCATAGATGAAAGGCAAAATGAATCACTCTCATATTCTGAAAATCATTAATGACAAAGTTCTTGACAAAGAACAAGCAAACTCTGTGATATATACTGTATCATATATATATACTGTGTGTATATGTATATATATATATATACACAAACAGTATATAATATATATGTACTGTAAACTGGCAAACTGTCATGGTAAGACAAAACAAACTGATATGTGCTGTCATGAACATTCATAAAATATTGAACCTATCAACCAAACATATCACAACCATTTCCATTTGTCTATTGATCATTTTGACACTGTTGGAGAGCAATAGAGAACACAATCTCTGACATCGGGACAACTGGAATGTATTTAAGGAAAGACAACGCCCAAAAATAAAGAGGGAGCCTTCAATTCTAAATCACAATTTTTTTCTAAGAACATTCACAGTCGGCTAGTCAGCTTTTATATATATGGACTACAAATTATATCAACATAAAATAACAAAGTATAAGCACACAGAAAAACACACGTAAACAGGGTGTGCACAAAAGCCTGGACCAGAGGAATTTTTTCTTCATAAAAAAAAGCACAATCAATTATATGCTTTGAGCCAAAAAGGACGTTGAAATGAAACCTTAACAATTGGCACACCTCCAAGGAAAACATATTTTTCATGGAGTTCTTGGCTGTTCCAAAGCTGAGAAAGAATCCACTGTGTATATGATTTTACAGTTTTTTTTTTTCCTCATTTCAATTTAAACAATTAATATACTTTCAAAATCAGTCTACATTGCGTCTCCTCACTCAGAAAATTTATCCAAAGTGCCTCTTTACTTAACTACACTTAGGACATCTTTCTGAGGCGACGACTGGTCGAAAATAGTCAGCAGTTTCCACGGGCAGTTCTTTTCTGGACACCCTGTGTCATGTTCACACTCGATAAATGCCAGGAACGTTCACATTCCGGTTGAAACAGAACACACACATAGAACACATTTGTAACACTTTCGTAAAACAAACCAAAACCATTCAACAATTAAAAAAATAAATATAAGGAAACTGTAAAGCTAACCGAGAAGTGAATAAAATTTTGATTGAACATGTCATGTACTAGAGCCAAATTCGACGGCTGATCAAACTTTTCCAGTGTCTAAAGACACGTTTCTGGCACACCACAGAGGTAGGGGGTAGTAATATTCTTCTGGTCATGCATATTCATAACAAACAATAATATGTCTTCAGAAATACGATAGTCCTAAACACTCTTTTGCATGCTCCAATAAAATTATTTAACAGCAAGAAAGAGGATTTAACGCAGAAAAATGGTTTTTCTTAAATTTAAACAATTTGTTTATACGACTCTTATTTTCCCTCCTCTCAAAAAGTGAATTGGGCAGGATCATGAAAAACCATGTAGCATTGTGACCAACTAGGTAAATACAAACTCTCATCAAAAGCTAAAAGTACCATGTAGCAAATAAAACACATACAGCCATACAGTCAAAGGTATTGTTTTCTACTCAAAAGGCTACCAACTGGTCAACTCATTCCATTGTGCACGTTTGTTCACGTTATGACCAGCTCGTCAACTCATGTCACCGCGCACGTTTGTTCACGCCATGACCAGCTCGTCAACTCATGTCACCGCGCACGTTTGTTCACGCCATGACCAGCTCGTCAACTCATGTCACCGCGCACGTTTGTTCAAGCCATGACCAGCTCCGTCTTGTTGTCCTTGGTGATGAACTGGACCAGACTGCCAGAATCGGGACGGGAATCTCCGTTCAGCCATTTGAGGAACAGCCTGGGGGGAAGAAAACACACACAAAAAAAGATTAGTTTCATTTTAGTAGAGGTTTTACAGCGCTCGCAACTGCATAAAGTCATATGATTTTTTTTTTTATAGTAGAGGGTTTTACGGCGCTCGCAACTGCATAAGGTCATATGAGCGCCAAGGGGTGGATGTCAACAGAGAAGTCTTTACAGGGAATCAGGCTTCCTCTGCTCAACTATCAAGGCACCCCGAAAATAGAGGGTCACACGAGTATGACAAACATACAAAAGAAGTAGAGGAAAATGGAGATAGTAAGGATTAGGAAAGAAAAAGCAGCAGTTCCCTGTTGTAGTTCAGGCACAGTTATGAGCATGACACTGTGGGATCAGCCCATTTACAATTCTACTGTGCATGAACGAGAAATGTCCCCCCCCCCCCTTTGGGAATGGCCTGAAGACACTTCAGTCAGTTGAACCGACCCGGGGGTAACAACAAAAAAAAGGGAGGATTTCTAAATTGTTACTAACTCATTAATGAAAACATTAAACAGAAGAAAACACCAAAAAGAAATAATTTCTAAATTATTATTAACCCATTAATGAACTGCTCCCAATTTCTAAATGAACCCCTCCCCCCCCCCACGAGATTGACAATTTTGACCAATTTCCTTAACACTGCCACCTTACCTCGCCAACAGGCCACGTCTACCACCTGGTTTCTTTGGAAGAAGTGACAAAGCGTTAAAAGCCACAGTTTTTCTTTTTTTCTACTCCCAACGTTAGATTGCCTTCTTTCAAATACACTTGAATCACGCAGTTTTCTCAAAACTCCACTTTTACAAATTAATTTTCTTTTAATGGGTCCAAAAATTGGAGCATCATAAAAATATATTCTGTTATGGTTGCTGCATATTGTTTTGGATTTTTCAGTTATGAAATTGAGTCTTTATTACACTCTACACCCAGCAATAACGAACTGCTGTCTAGTTAAGGCAACTGTGCTAAAATTACCTACATCTTCAAAATGACAAATGGTATACATATCTGTGAGGCAGCGTGGAAAAATCAGGCTTGGAGAGTAAATGACAATTACATATCGCTCCCCCTGAGGCGAAGGGATACAATATTGTGCGGAAATTGTGCCCTCTCGACTCGGGTTCGAGGATCCTGTGTCAGAATCTCCCCAAGCTCAATAGGACTCAAAAAGAACACTCGGGGCAAATCATCAGGGAGTAGAATGCTGCATTTTTAAAGATCATAATCTGTAAACTTGCTACCTACAACCCGTTAACAAATGCCCCAACATACCTGCCACTATACTGTCTTCCCACTTAGTTCCTCTCGACACTTGTCTTCGTCCGATAGAATAGGCTAACACTAACAATGTCACCTTAGCAGAGACTGAGCCCACCATTTCGGAACTTCACGGAGACCGTAAAGATGGTTCCAGTAAGGAACGGAATAGAAGGCGCCCACGTTCCTCGTGACTGGAGCAGAGGAAGATAGGAATATCGCTAACATTACTTAAACGCAATCCCACATCATCACTCGTCACCACCATTATATCTAAAATCATCACCGCTCTCAGATCAATGACTTACATCTATAATCCTGGAATCTCTATCTGCTATTACAGTTACTTGTTATACTAAGTATGCACGTAATACACTATTGGTCACTATCATACGCACTTTTTTACTACTCATCAGATGGCATCAATCTCATATAAATGGGCAAGGGATTAAATTTTTTTTTTTAAAGAAAAAGACAATGACTTACTCTGCAATAAAGTCTAAAGTTGTCCAAGTAGAGAAGTCAGCAGAGGACATAAACTTTCTGTTCATGGGAGTGTCCAATGTTACTCTGTGAACAGACACAAAATAGTCATTAGTCAACACAGTCCATGGTAAGTTAGTGCAAACAGTGAAGACCACATCACAAACAGTCAGATTCAAACATTAAAAATTTTTTTTTTTAAATTAAAGATCATATATAAAGAAGTGAACAAACGTGTCTAATAACTTTCTTTTTCTAAGAAATACTGAAAGTTTCAAAGAGAACTTCACACTAAAAGTAATTCTAAAATGTGAAAAATACAACCGCGGGGGTACAGAATGACCCCAGGGCGTACGGATAAGGTTAAATCATGCTACTAAAATAACCGGCTAAATGAGATAACAGTAACAGAAGCGCTACATACGGCAAGGTGGCCACCACGGTAGAGCCGGCCGGCAGACCGCTGTTCTCCCCACTCAGACTCTGCACCAACTGGTGGACGGCGGCTTTGGCCATGCCATAGCCCATCATTCCTGGGAGAAACGTCAGTTTAGTTTTAGTATGTGTTTTACGGCACTTGCAACGCAATAAGGTCATAGAAGTGTCCAAGAATAGATTGCGTGTTACAAGAGAGTAACAAACACAAAAAAAGGAGGGGAGATATGATAAGAATGACAGATGTTGATAGGAAAGAAGAAGCAAACCACACCAGAGCACCCGCCAACCACCCACGAAACATATTTCAACGAATAGTGGAGTTGTCAAAAGAGATTATAGAAGGAGAGCAGGCAAAACATCAATACTTATACGAACAATAAAATGTTTGTCATTTATTCGTATTCTTACAAAATATCCATCTTAAAAAACCAAAATATGGATCAAAACAGAATTTTAATATTTATGTAGATAACTGTCTATATAGGGAAGTATGGAACAAAGAGGAAGAGATATGTGAGGTGTGCTGACAAAATGAGTTACTTCTCGCAATCCACAAACAGAGATATTGTCCAAAAATTGACACTTGGGTCAAATCTGTAGAATCTCCATTAATGCCATATATTCTTTAACTATAACATGCCTTTTATAATGTCATACTTATACATTGTCAAAACTTCACCTATAAGCGTGATGTATCTATTTCCATAGGACTCAAATCCGAGAAGTAACTCATTTTTGAGGCAGTGTGGTGAAATCAGGCGCTCGTGAAAATAATAAAAATCAAGAAATTGGCATTTTCCCACAGGTTTGGGAATTTTTTGCGAATTTTTGTTTTTTGATCCAACACCTTTCATGCTCATTAGAGAACACATTTCTGTGTGGACTTTAAAGAAATGTAAATTTTCAGTTTCCATGGACTCTCAAGCTTAAGAAATATCTCAACTTTGGCGGCCATTTTCTCGCTAATTTTACCTCTGAAACCAGACAACCCTCACCTCCTTCAATCACACACCTCTCGACTTCTATTCAACATAGATGGGTATTATCTTCACCCGAAACAAGGAAAATGGACACGCCGTAAGATGACACCGTCAACTTCGCATGCCCAAAAATTGACGAGAGCCCGATTCCACCGCATCCTGCCACATTTCGTCAGCACGCTTCACATATAGTCCAGGACATGAATTACAGTACAAAAGACATATTTTCATATATCCATCGTCAGTACCTGGTGTTTAGCTTTAGTAAGAGTTTCACTGCACTTGCAACACAATGAGGTCATATAAGTGCCGAAGATTAGAAGTGTTGCAAGAGAGTAACAAACATAAAACAGAAGGAGGAGAGATCAGGATGATAGACGTTTGGTAGGAAAGAAGGAGCAAACCACACCAGAGCACCCGCCAACCACCCACGTACCTGGTGTGCCTTTCAGGGCAGCCTGGGCACCAGGCAGGGTAATCAAGCCTCCTTCCCGCAGATACTTGGCCCCGATACTGGCAGTGATCACAGACGGAAAGACGGATTGCTTCCACATGGAATCAGCAGCATCTACTATTTCTGAAATTCACGACAAATTTAAGAACTGAAGAACTGCATGTACATTACTTTTCATACGCTACTAAAATAGAAACCAGAAAAAGTAAACGAACATTCTTTCTTCTGCTCTAAAAAATCACCAACCCCCCCCCCGAAAAAACAACATATTTTCTAGAAAAAAAGGAATAATCTGGCTCACATTTGTTTAAACATGTGATTAAAGAGAAATTCACAGTAGAATCAACTTAAATGCTAATTTGATTCAAAGATGTTGAGCTTCGAAAAAGTTCTGCTGAACAATTAGTTTTGCAAATGGTAGACCGTCCATTGTTATTTCATTACATATAGTTAAGTTATGGTTCATTTTCTCAGAGAAGACAGTCCCATGGGGTACATATGATGGGTATCAGAATCGTATGAGAACATCAGCATTGACAGTGGTAACAATATTTTTAAAAAAACTTTAAATGAGCGCTTGTTAATAGGATGATATTGCGGCATATGTGAACCCCACCCCCCATCTCCATATTTTTTGGTTTCTCAGAGATGATCCTTCTTGAAGAATATTATAACCTGAAATGATTAACAGAAAAAACACTTATGACTCTCAGATTACTCAGAACAGATGCCGGAGAATAACCTTTTGCTTTCAAGAAATATTCAAGCAGCTCAAATGGTGAGGGAAAAAAAGAAGAGAGTAGAACAAACAGAAAAGTTAAAAGAAAAAAAAAAAGCCTTACATCAGAAAGAAGGACATACTGAGGGGTAGTAAGGCTTAGAAAATGGCAACAGAATAGAGAGAAACAGCAGGAGACGGATTATACGATAGGCTACTGTAAATACGACCATTATTTTCTCTTCAGCACGCGGAGCAAAATTTGAAGGAGAGCCCTTGTACCTGTGTGCACGGGGATAAAAAACTTACTTTCTGCATTGCCGCCTGCCCAACCACCAGCAACACAAAAGATGGCCTCCACCTTGTTTTCCCCGAGGAGGCCTCCAACTTTGCTGTTGATGTCGGCTTCTTGTTCAGGCAAGCTCATTTCTGGCTTCACGATCACATTGGCATCTGCTTGTTCATTGACAGCCAGGTCAATTGATCCCACCCACTGCCATTAGAAAGAAAACAATAAAAGTCTTTATAATAAAAGCATATTATATAATAGATCTAAATTTAAAAAACTGGATTGATAACAACAACGGGCAAAAAAAAGTATGTAGATCTAGATCTATATATGATAATATAATGATAAGGCTTTAGTCAATATGTCTACATCTAACAACCTTTTTTTTCTTTATACTTCCTATATGTGCTACCTGATTCATGGAAGACGTAAACTTTGTTATGATCAATAATTATAAATTAAATGCAAATTCTATTTCATTGCCAAGCCTACCTGATATCACTAGACATTTATTAGATTTTAGATCTAGATCTAGATATCTATATTAATTACAGCATTAATTCAGTTATTGGCATTGAATATCTCCATCTTCTGTGACCTGAAGTCTTGCCTACTTTCGGTGCACTTAGCAAGTTATTGCTCAAGTTGTGAAAGTAGCAGTAATATCTACAGAAGTAGAATCTAGTGTAGATTCTATATCTATATATATATATATATATCTAGTTGGCTAGGCTAAGGATTCGGTATTTTGCAGAGCACCAAGCAAAATGCTATGTAACACACATCAAGGCGGGGAGGGGGGGGGGGGGTTAAGCTATACTTACATTACATTCTCTACTAGTTTCTATATTTTGATATATCTCGAATGTAGATTAGAATCTAGTAAATTACTTACAAAATCCTTTGACTTCAAAAGGCTGACGACTGTTGAACCAAGCGCACCTCTGCCGCCGTACACAAGGACACGACCCTGAACCATGTTGCAACTTGAAACTAAATATGGTCAATAAAATATGAATCTGCCGGCGAATGCCCTACTGTCGCAAAGTCAACGCCGAGTCTGCAAATCTGTCAACTGCTAGGCTACTACGCTTAGTCTATCTATGCACTCCTTATCACCTTCTGGTAGATCTAGAAATGTGCAGCAATACGGATTCAGGGCAACCGGCAAAATGGAAACAATAGAGGCTACCGTGGTGTGGTGGACAACAGTTTAATGTCAACGTCGTGTCGTGTTTGACTGTTTGGTTCAGAGTTGGCCCAGGCTGTGCTCAAGAGCTGTGTCGTCTCGTCAGCGATGGATGAAGTGACCGAGCCGAGCGGAGAGGGCGGGGAGGGCGGAGACAAAGATCGTTCATAGCCTAATGTAATATGTATCGATACCGAATACTTTGTAAGACTTGTTTTCCAGAGGTTCTTCTGGCAACAGTTAATCTAGGCCTAGCCTAATAAATCGCTAGATCTACCAGAATCTATATACTTTTTGCTTTATACATGTACTTATCATCCTCTGTACAAACTGTCAGATCTATGTAAAATTGGTTTGACTGCTTTTTTATCTGTGGACTGTAATTAGGCATAGATTCCACAGCTCCAGGTCAGAATTTAATCATCTTTGGTAGGTCATAGTGTGCCGATGACAATATGGGCTAAAGACACCTGTATGATAAAAGAGGATGAAATAAAAATATTATGCCTATGCTTTTAAAACCTGAAAACCCAGAGCCAAACCCCTCCCCCAAAATGCGGGTAAATCCCGCACAGCTTATCTAAAAGTGGACGAAAAGACGAGAAAAACAGCCTGCCACTATTATTCCCCGAACTTTTAATCCAAGAAGCAGCCAAATCTGGAGCCAGCCAGAACGATTAAAAATGTGTCTTTTTATTTGTGGAATGAAAGGAACGGTCATGCTGGTCTTAGATCAAGATAGAGAGAGAGAGAGAGATGCTATACTACTTTAGTTAAAATCTAAATAAATGGTGCAAAAAAAGTGTTGACATCAATCTTCCATCCTTAATTTATTAGATTGTTAGGACTAGATCTAATAGAATTTATATTTTGCATGCAGTGTTGTAGCTGATGAGATTCACAGAAATAGACTGAAAACGTGGCAAAGGCTATAATTATTATGCCTATATAAGTCTGATAGATTGAAATCGGATAGGAATTACATTGCAATGTTTTTGCATTTAAACTTTAAAAGATCCAACCTTTTTTCTATTCGCCCCCCACCCCCCTTTCCAAATCCTTCCTGTGCAATAGATTATATTAATTATATCGCTGAACAAAACCGCGATCTTTCATGGGAATTAGCTAGGCTAGGCGGGGGCTTTCCGTGGCCGAGAGGTGTAAGTGTTCGCCTCTCATTCAAAGGTACCGGGTTCGAATCCATGAAGCGACGGAAAAATTTTGTTCTCCAAAATTGTCTCCTTTCACCTCCTTAATTCCTGCTCTCTAGCAATATATATATTATCATATATATAATTACACATTTATCTAGGCCTAGGGAATACACAAAAATTGACACATACAGTATTGTGTGACTATGTGATAGACAAATATCTTTAGCGAAATACATTATAGATATCTAACCTCTTTGAATGAAATACGTGGAATTCTACACCTACGCTTATTCTGTGTTGAAATAATATAGGCCTAGGCTGAGAAAGCCCAGATATAGGCCTATATGTGTTTTTGGCTATTAAATTGCTCTTCAAAACTATTTGGTATCGATACCTATTTTCTAAAACGACAAACTTCCACTCGCAGGAAAGTTGATATGATAACATTGTGAATTTCGCTGAAGAGGGATGTTCTTGTAAAATTTTGCGATAAGATCTAGGCCTTATTGTTCTTATTTTTGCAGGAGAGGATTTTGAGCAGTTAATCAGACCGATTATGATGGAACGAAAACGATTTGGGGGGGGGGGGGGGGTTATTTTGGCGTCTTTTCAACAAAAAGTAAATCTTGAAAAATCCGGAATGAATAATCTTCAGTAGTTTCTTCAGAGTGGAGGAAAAAAATAGAGATTCTAATGAACTGAGGCTTACTCAGGGCAGTTGATAGTCGACTTACACATCTTTTCGATTGTTTTTCATAAAGATGTTTAATATCTCTGACGTATTATAGATATATGCTTATTTCAGGAGAACTTCTAAACCTCATCGCCCCGTCGAGATCAAGTGAAAGTTATCGTTGCTGCCTTGTACAGACAGCAAAATGGTTTGTTATTTGTACACATAAAAATACCTCCACCCCAGATTGCCTACCTAGCAGGACCATCCCATTTCCTTAACGTAGGGTCTTGGGGACACTAAACAAGTGGCAGTTGTCAGAAGATTAGTCTCCTCAGTCAAGACCTAGATTTCAGTTCTTAGTGGTTCACCTAAAATTGATAGGGCCTAATCTTGGAGTCAAGAGATCATCTCTAGATCTAGACTAGTATCTAGATTCTAGGTCTTGGGTCTTGGGACTTGGGATGGTCCCCAGTTAGGCTAAGGTGCCCACACTAGCGCAATCGGGTCGGGTCAATTTGATAGTCGGGGCTAGATCTAGCCAAATTGAGGGCTCAAAGCCGCGTTTGTGGTACATGTTACGCGATCGGGTGGTTTGCAGCTAATTACTAGGGTAGGTTGGGGCAAATTCGACCATGGGCATGGGGCAACTTCGACAGCCTCAACCTAGTCTTGGCTTTTGAGAATCATTTGCCCCCTGTGTCGTGGAATCATCAAAGCCCACTTTTATTCGTTGCACATCTGATTCGGGAAGATTGAAGAATAGCGGACCACTCGTACATTATTGCGCGAGAAAGTGGGGTAGGTGGGGCGGGTGGTTGGGATGGAGGAGGGGGGTTCAGGGGGGTCCCCCCCCTGACAAAATTTTAATGAGAATAGATCTACCGGTCCGAGATTCTCCATTGAGAGATATTAAAAACGGGGAAATCATGAATTCGTAAGGTTGAGACATAGAGGCAAAGTCAGTCCGCTGGTCCGGTATTCTTCAATCTTACCTTTGATTCTATCTAAAAATAAAATCGAAGTGGCTTGCCGTACTTAAGTACGGCTAGACTGAGAGTCTAGCCGTACTTAAGTACAGTCTAGCCGTACTTAGATCTAGGTTTGGCCCTATCGACTCAAGCCTGTTAAGTACACAGGTCTCATTAGATCTAGATCTAGTAATTATTAATTATTCAGGTTCAAATACATGCAAGTCAGTAAGGCACCTTTTGGTTTTGTCTGAAATACAAATACTTAAAGCATTGCAAACTAAAAATTTCATTTACAACAATTCAGCCATCAATATTAAGTACGGCTAGCCGGACAAGTCTAGCCGTCCTTAAGTACGGCTAGCCTGGCTGTCTACCCGTACTTAAGTACGGCTAGACTGCCAGTCTAGCCGTACTTATCTTAGAAAGGCCCTATTAACATTAGAAAACGGGAGGTTTAAAATACATGCACTGTCATTAAGGCACCTGGTTTCGTCTCAAATACAATTACTTTAGGTACTGCACACTAAAAATGTATGTTAACAATTCAGTAGGCCTATTTTTTTGTAAATGGTCAGTCTAGACATCATATTAAGAATAAGTACAGCTAGACTGCGAGGGCTTCCTAGGCTTCCACTAGTTTCTTGTTTTAGTCAGAAAGCTCCAGAAAACACCCCTCCAAGTTCGGCGCTCCGTTGCCTCGTACTTTTCGCTCTTGAAGAAAAAAATTGATATATTTCACCTGTCATTTACTTTCTTTTATACACACGCTTGTTTTGTTACTTCAAAATACTAATCAGTTATATTTATAACCAAACTTTGATATCCTTGGGTTCATTTAAATCCAACTAACTAGAATTAGAAATGTTGATTGTTTGAATTTAAATGATTTATTTAAAATGATGGGGTGAGATTTTGGGGGTTGGTGCAACTTCGACAGGGCAAAACGGGGCAACTTCGACAGGGGGGTGGGCCAATTTCGACCTACCAGCTTCATATAAGCAGAATCACCAGTAGGCTACTAACAAACTATCACATTTATAATTAATACCTTGTGTTTGTTTTTATTATTTTCATCGTTGGCTGAAATTCCATGACTGGTCAGATACAAACTAACAGAAATTTAGACTTAGACTAGATCTAGAACTAGATCTAGACTGCTCAACTATCGCATTTTCCGAGCTAAATGTGTGTGTGTGTGTGTGTGTGTGAGAGAGAAGGAGAGAGAGAAAGTGTGTGCGTGCGTGCGTGTGCGCACGTAGGCCTATGATGTGAGTGCGTGTCTTCGTGAGTGTGCGTACTCGAATAGAGAGGAATTCCGTAACGAGCAACCAGTATGAAATAGACAGGGTTAGGGGTTTGCGTTTAGGGAAATGTTCGGTCCATTCTTTATCGTGTTTGTTGATGTAGTAGCTTGTTACGGAAGTCCTTGTGGGCGGTTGGCGGGTGCTCTAGTGTGGTTTGCTCCTTCTATCCAATCAAATATCTCTATCGTCCTTTTCTCCCCTCCTTCTATTTTCTGTTTGTTATTCTCTTGTAACACCTCTAATCTTCGGCACTTATATGACCTTATTTTGTTGCAAGTGCCGTAAAACACGTACTAAAAAAATGGAAGTCTTCTGCAGAATGTGTGTGTAACATGTATAGTGGGGAAAAAAATATCGTAAGCTGTTTTTGTGTTTTTCAGGGTGACTTCTTGGAAGGACTCCCGTCGTACAACGAGAGTAACTTCACCCGTTTCCACGCAGACTCTAGTCACAGGTCCAGTGTAAGTGTACATTGTTACTTTTTCTTCTTCTTCTTCTTCTTCTTCTTCTTCTTCTTCTTCTTCTTCTTCCTCTTGTTCTCGATGACAGCAGCTAGACAGTCACCCGGTGTCGCGCACAAACTGTGCCGTGCGCTTCAAATCTGAGAGACTGCCATAGAGCTTTCTCTCAAGGGGAGCCACATTGTGCCATGTCTGTGTACGAAGGGTGGCGTAGTGCGGGCAGTGCTGAAGGATATGGTTGGCATCCTCTTGGTCGTGTCCACATTCACAGATCGCGGACTCTCCCACTTTTTAGTGTGCATATGGTTACATTGCCACTGTTTACTTTGTGGTCACAAATCGCTAGTGTGGGTGGTTGGCGGGTGCTCTGGTGTTTTTTCCTCCTTTTTTCCTATCAAACATCTATTGTCTTTATCTCCCCTCCTGCATTTTGTGTTTGTTACTCTCTTGTAACACGTCTAATCTTTGGCACTTATATGACCTTATTGTGTTTCAAGTTCCGTTAAACTCTTACTAAAAGAAAAGATCTTACAATAGAAACCAATTTTGATGGAGATGAAATGGAAAGATGAAAGTAAGATTTCAGATTGTGGACCATGTGTTGACTTTCTCACAGAGTCAATGGTACCCATACAAAAATACAATCACAAAAGAGAACAAACAATTAAATGTGAACAAAACAAACATTTTAGAACAGCTGCAAGCAGAAAACTAAGTTGAAATTGTGGGTTGTTGGTGGGTGCTCTGGTGTGGTTTGCTCCTTCTTTCCTATCAAACATCTATCGTCTTTCTCTGTCCTCCTTTTTTGTGTTTGTTACTCTCTTGTAACACCTCTAATCTTCGGCACTTATATAACCTTATTGTGTTGCAAGTGCCATAAAACACTTACTAAAACTAAGTTTAAATTGACAGCTGTCTGGACAATCCTAAGCCTGGAAATGTACAATTTTGGGAACTCAAAAGGGAGCTTTTGCTTTTGCCAATGTGTTGTTGAAAAGTATTTTCATTTATTTTGTGTGTGGTAAAATTCATGAATGATATAATGCATGATACGTTATTTTTGTTTCAGAAACCGACGGTGTACATTTCAACAAAAGACTACCCTTCTGAGCAAGGTAATCAAAACATTCTGAACGCAAAATTTAGAAACAAAATGTAACTGAATGGGCTGTTGTAATTAAATCAGAATTTACTCATCACTATTCGTACGCTGTCGAGGAGGACATAGTTATCTGGGTGGGGGCTCTCATGGCCTAGAGGTTAAAGTGTTGGCCTCTCATTCAAAGGTCCTGTGTTTGAATCTGGGTAACGACGGAAAAATTTTCTTCCCTAATATTGTCTCCTTTCACCTCCTTTCCTGCTCTCTAGCAATGTTCTGTCATCTGCTTTGGTCTCCTCTTTCTACCCCCACCCCCTCACCTCCCTTGCCCCCTCCTCTGGGCTCCTGACTCCTTTTGCAGCCTTTGTACTGCTACTCCTTGGCTCATTCTTACTACTGTCTTTCAGCCACACCCCTGATCTTCTAAAATTGAGTCGATAGTGCCGTAAAACACATACTCAATCAATCAATCAACCTGATCTTCTGGTAGGAAAGATCTACACCTAGCCTTCTCGGACAAGGGCGAAAAATTTTGGAGGGCCCGTTTTCTAGCTGCGCACGTTAAAGATCCTTTGGTGGTCTGAAATAGATAAGAGTAGGCTTCGGCCGCCGTCCGAACAAAATTCAAAGTTTCCTACCAACTGAAAAAGTTAAATGTGTCCCGCACTCTCATATGACCTTATGCAGTTGCGAGCGCAGTAAAACACTTACCAAAAAAAAAAAATAGTTATCTAGAAATTTCTATTCAGTGGCAACATTCAGCCAGGAACTTTGACTTCCTTAAAAGTTTGATGGAAAACTGGGTGTATGTCGTCATGTAAATGGAGAGCTGTTGTACTGATGACATAAATAAGAGAGAAATCTTTGTTGTCTATGCACTGGCACTTTGGTTTGTTATTTCACCACACACACACACACACACACACACACACACACACA